TCTGATGGGTTTTGATATCTTGTGTTTTGCTCATAGAAACAGAACAATAACGTAGGTAAAGAAGTTGCTCATAGAAACAGAACAATAAAGTAGGTAAAGAAGTTGTTCATAGAAACAGAACAATAAAGTGGGTAAAGAAGTTGTTCATAGAAACAGAAGAATAAAGTAGGTAAAGAAGTTGCTCATAGAAACAGAACAATAAACTAGGTAAAGAAGTTGCTCATAGAAACAGAAGAACAATAAAGTGGGTAAAGAAGTTTGTGCATAAAAGTAAGAAAGAAGCAAATTCAAAGGAATGTTTGTTCAAAGGAATGTTTTTACGACCTAAAACATTAAGGCAATATATTATGAAAATAAGATCATAGACAAGTTCAATAAATTCAAAAGTATAAACAAGATATCAAAACCCATCAGATACTATAATTACAAACCATATTGACCAGATTAATACAACAACAAGATATCAAAACCCATCAGATACTATAATTACAAACCATATTGACCAGATTAATACAACAGCAAGAGTAAAATAAAGAGTAAGCATTAAAAAAGCATTAACAAGATTACGGCTTTAATAAACAAATAGGGTAAACATTAAGTCGAGGATGTCCTCAGGTCACAGTTATCATTCGTGTTACCATATCTGTGCTACTTGCTTTATATTTCTATTCACTTATTCCAGAAAGTGACTCATGAAAAATAAAAACGTATTTTTCCCTCTTTTAGCACTCAAAAGCGTAGTTCCTTGGATCAATGGCAACTAATGTAAATACTTCCTTGCATGAAAATGGCGTAGGACGCAATGAATATTTCATTTTGTTGTGATTATTCCAGTAGGAGTATTTTATCTGATAGAAAAAAAATAAAAAGCATATTTTTTTGTTCGCATTTGATCAATATATATACAATTGACTTAAACTCTTCTGACTCAGAGCTTATTTTTGATAACAGACTTAACCAAAATTGCAGGCCGCATTTCTGTATCTTGGTACAAAAAATGGAAGACGTCCATTATGTACTTGAATGGAATAAAAATATATGTACTTATACAAAAAATATTATAGAATATTATTAGACCATCGTGACCCGTTGGGTCAACCACTATTCAGAGGTTATGAAGAATTCAAGCTAATTTCAATATTGCACCGAAATGAAGGTTTATTTTGAGATAATTTAATTAAATATTTCAATCCATTCATGTTATTCATAATTCAAGAGAAGATGTTTGATTGTTGATCTGGAGTAAAAGGAAAGACCATTTCAATTTTCAAAAAGTGAAGTAAGAAGTTTCGTAAAGAGCGCAAACGGTAGTGTGAATGATTTTTTGACTGAGAAAACAAACAAACAAACAATCTCAGAGTTTTAGTAGCATATAGATAGAATCTTCAAGATCTCGTTTTTATCATCTTATGCCTTTTAATGGAGATGGGAACATTGACAGGGAAATAATATAATAGCCAATGTTCGGCGAGAGGATTTCGTTCATAAAAATTTTGTTGTTGTTCTCGATTTTATTTTTATTTTATTACCTCGTCTCCATAGTTACTATTTGCAAATAGTCAATAATATTGTAGGTCCATTTTATTATTGTTCTTTCTATGCGCCATTATAACACATTTTTATCTCATCATTTAATTTATGTTGTGCATATATTGTTGTATAGAATATATTTTAAAGTGATTCATCAGGTGGAAAACGAAGTTTTATAATAATGGAATGTACGAAAAGTGACCCGAAAAACGGCGCTAACTCGGTAACCCTTGGCCCGATTTTAACGAAACTTGTTTTATTCTGTTTCTATTCTCATTTCATTACAAATATAGCGCTATTGTGCGCCATTTTTGCTGTATTTAATTACAGACAAGCACGCACACAAACAAACAATCTTAGAGTTACAGTAGTAAAAAGATGAATAGATTGAAACAATTAAAGTTCAATACTCAATTATAAAATATGAGTAGATTGAAACAATCAAAGTTCATTACTCAATTATAAATTATGAGTAGATTGAAACAATCAAAGTTCATTACTCAATTATAAAATATGAGTAGATTGAAACAATCAAAGTTCATTACTCAATTATAAATTATGAGTAGATTGAAACAATCAAAGTTCATTACTCAATTATAAATTATGAGTAGATTGAAACAATCAAAGTTCAGTACTCAATTATAAAATATGAGTAGATTGAAACAGTCAAAGTTCATTACTCAATTATAAATTATGAGTAGATTGAAACAATCGAAGTTCATACTCAATTATAAATTATGAGTAGATTGAAACAATCAAAGTTCAGTACTCAACTATAAATTATGAGTAGGTTGAAACAATCAAAGTTCAATACTCAGCTTGTGATATTAGTATTTGATAACAAGAAAAAAATATATAAATAAATATGGCAACGTTAAGAAGATGTGAATATGTATCTCTGTTTTCAGATTTTTATGTATTTTGAAGTAGAAGCTTAAATATATTCAATTATGAATTTCACTTTATAAGTATATTTGTAGCCTTGGGAAAGAAGCGAACAAGTCAATTTTAATTCGAAAAGTATCTTAATCCCCCACGATTTTCAATGTTTTCGACATTTTATACTTCGTTAATACCGTGTTAACCATAGCTTTTTTTTACTTTTAAGTTACATAGTAGTTTGATACGGTTTTTCTCTTTGTTTTAGAATATTTTTATATATAGTTGATCACTGAAGAAAACCTATCATTTTTACTGTCCTTTTCAAAGGACAGTATAGCTTGAATGCTAGGGTTGCTGCTGACTGGCTGTATTCCTTATGGTCAGTGGTTAAAAATTATGAATGGTGACATACAGACTTAGTAGCTTTGTCATAAATACGAATAATCTATAACTAACGTTTACGTTGAAAGTATTAATTTAGGGTTTTTGCATCC